CCCCAAACCCCTAAACCCCTACAACCAGCAACCCCAAAACCCCTAAACCCCTAAACCCCTAAACCCCTAAACCCCTAAACCCCTAAACCCCTAAAACCCTAAGTCCCTAAACAGAAGCCGCCGCAAGCTCTCGGCTTCTGGGAAGTTCAGGACTGGCGGGCTTCGGGCTCAGGGATTCTGGGGGCTTTGGGGATTTAGGGTTTAGGGTTTAGGGTTTAGGGTTTAGGGTTTAGGGTTTAGGGTTTAGGGTTTGGGATGGAAAGGGCTCTGGTAGATCATACCATGTAATACGTTGCTATTTTAAATAACATAATAGTAGTCATAAGGTGACATATAATATACAATGTATATGCTATATTACATCATTATGACTACTATTGTTTCTACTGCTATGACTGTCATCATTGTTATTATTAGTACTACTATCAGTATTGTTACCACTCTTAGTATTGTTCTGATTATTGTAGCATACTGTAGTATGATATGTTACAGTACTGTTATAGCATCATGACGTATATCATATTACAGTATGCTTATGGGTTCTTGTCGCAAAATGAAGTTTGACCAAAAACTTACAATGCTATTATCGTATTATCAGTAAGGCTTTGGTTGGGGTGGACTTGCTGCCTGCCACCCCTCCTCACGCCACACTCGCACCAGGCCGTGAAGAGCATGGCCGTACGATCCTCGCATCTGTCTCCGGCCCTATCTTAGGGATTAGGGTTGAGGGCTTCTGAGAAGAGTTTCGGCATCCAGGGCCTTTCGGACAAAGGAAGCAGTCGATGAGAGATCTTTTACTATCGGGGCATGTCTGCGGATGCCTCGCCAACGGGAACGAAGAAAACATCGGGAATCAAGAAATCTCCATTAACCTAATCGATGAAAGAGCCTTCTGTGACAGTCCTGCAACTTGCGCATAGCCATCCTAGACCCTAAACCCTAAACCCTAAACCCTAAACCGTGAAGGCCGGAGCCTCATCTGGAGTGCCCCAACGATGACGGAGCATGGCAGATGTCCTTTTACAGCAAAGGCAACCATAACGAATCGTGGAAGATCACATAAGCCGCCTCAACCCAGGTTTAGGGTTTAGGGTTTAGGTCAAAGAAGCGGCCCAACCCAGAGCACTCACAAAAACCATCGCGAGCCCGGATACGACGTGAGTTCGCGCAAATGTGGCGAACTAGATGGGCCAAACCCCTAAACCCCAAAAGGACAATAGACGCCCGGATTATAAGTAGCAGCTTCCGAACCCTAAACCCTGAACCCTACATCCCAAACCCTAAACCCTGAACCCTGAACCCCAAACCCTAAACCCCCAACCCCAAACTTTAAATCCCAAACCCTAAACCCAAACCCTAACCCCTCAACCCCTAAACCCTAAAGCCTAAACTCTAAACCCTCAACCTCTCAGGGTTAAAGGAACCCCAAACTACATTGGCAATTATTTAGGCCCCTTTATTATTCCCAAAAGCCTAATCCCCAAACCCTAAACC